ACACGCACACTGACACACACACGCACACTGACACACACACGCACACTGACACACACACTGACACGCACACACTGACACACACACACTGACGCACTCACACACTGACACGCGCACACACACTGACACGCACACACTGACACACATTGACACACGCACACACACACACACTGGCACACACACACTGACACACATTGACTCGCACACACACACACACACACACACACTGACTCACACACTGACACACACACACACACTGGCACACACACACTGACACACATTGACTCGCACACACACACACACACACACACACTGACTCACACACTGACACACGCACACACACTGACACACTCACTCACACACACACACACACACACACACACACACACACACACACAAACACAGTCACCCGCACACACACACACACACACTGACTCACACACTGACACACACTCGCACACTGACACACACGCACACACACATGCACACACTGACTCACACACTGACACACACGCACACACACTGACACACACACACACTCGCACACTGACACACACACAGAGGATGAGAGGGAGAGAGACGGGGGACCCAGCAGGGTTTTAATGATTGTCTAGCAGCTTTTTCTAAAATTAATATTGACCTCATTTTGATAAACCTTTAATACTGTCGTGCACAGAGGAGAGGACCAGACCCGTTTGATTTGCGTTTGTTTTGGGAGCCGTCTGTCACTGAGGAGCGCCGACAGATGGAGGGACGCTTGTGTTTGTGCGTCTTGTGTGTTTTGCGTGAATCTCATGAAAACATGTCCGGATTCCATAACAGTGACAACATTAGAAGAAAAACAAACATGTACTTGTTTGGCTTGAGCTGAATAAAGCCTACTGTTTTTTTTTATTTAGTTTTTTTTTTGTTTTTTGCAGCTTGACAGTATTTTAATCACAGTTAATTTTCAATAATGTAATGCGTTTGAATGTACGTCCGAAGGGTTTTGATTCTCATTACTGTAATTTTATTAAAATCTGCATGAATAAAAGGCAGTGCAACACATACATGTAGAAATACATAACAAATTAATATTTCATTTTTCACGTTAAAGTGGGAAGGTGTTTAAGTTTGCATGAAAATATGCCATGTGCAAAAAGCAGGCTTTATTTGATATATCTAGTGAAATATGAGATTCACAGTCCGAGATCTGCACTGAAATGAGCCAAACGTGTGTGCGTCCTCAAAACAATAAATATTGCACATTTGCAGAATTCCTCATTTAGTTACTGACAATCTTAGTTTGACGGGACAGACTGCAGTTTTGTGCGTTTCAGACATTTATAATCATTGTGTGCCAACAAGATCAACTCACTCAGAACAAAATGACACGAAATGTCTTTTTATTTTTTATTTTATTTTTTTTGTGCTTCAAGATGCAGACTGAAAATGATTATTATTTAACTGTCAATGACTGTCATCAGTATTTGGCCGTTATGCCTTTTTATTATTTTTATGGTTTTGTTTTTTTGTTTTATGTTTTTGATTTTGGAAACACACTGTCAGTGGTTTGCATCAGAGTGAAGGTTCGTTCAGTGGTTTGGGTATTTGTTTTATGTGGGTCTGTGTGTCTGAGGGCATCATGATCGATTTACACTGACTGCTGAAGCGCTTGAAATAACTTGAAATAAATACATTTTAAATGCCTGTATTCGCCTTTCATTTGTGCTTTGTCTGGGTTCATGTTTCGGCTGGTTCGACTGCATCATTTTGTCTTTATTTTTCTTTATTGGTGAAATTACAAAGTTTGGGCAAATCTTAGAAATGCACAGATGATGAGGGTCTTATGTGTGTGTGTGTGTCCTGTTTGCTCTTGAAGGATGTTTTCATGGGTGGTTTTGTGATTTGATGACATCCCCGTGAGGTGTGCTGCCGTCTTGTGTGGATGCTGCTGTTGCTAGGCGATGATCTGTATGGACAGTGACTTACAGTTTGAGTTTAAGTCCTCCTCTCGAGGACACAAAGAAAGAGCCAGATGAGATTTTACTCAGACAGGAGAAGATTAAAATTAAAGGTATAGTTCATCAAAAATTTTAAATGTGCTCATTCTCCGGTCATCTCAGATCAGGATGAGTTTGTTTCTTCATCAGGTTTGGAGAAATGTAGCACTGCATCAGTGTCTCAGCAATGGATGCTCTGCAGTGAATGGGTGCCGTCAGAATGAGAGTCCAAACAGCTGATAAAAACATCACAATAATCCACAGCACTCCAGTCCATCAGTTAACATCTGGAGAAGACAAAAGCTGAAACAAATCCAGCATTAAGATGCTTTTAACTAAAAGTTCACTGGAAGCGTTATTATGGATTATGGACTCAGCTTTTGTCTTCTCCAGATGTTAACTGATGGACTGGAGTGCTGTGGATTATTGTGATGTTTTTATCAGCTGTTTGGACTCTCGTTCTGACGGCACCCATTCACTGCAGTGATGTAATAATACATTTCTCCAAATCTGATCCTAATCTCGGATGGCCTAAGGTGCAACTTTTATTTTTTTAGATGAAGTACTCGTGACTAATCAATGTCACATTTAAACTGTGACTAGATTTTAAAAACTTTTGAAGGGCTGCTACAAAGCTGAAGGCTGATGAGAAATAGCAGATAAAACTATTTTTCTTGTGCGTTCATCTTCATGCTACAGTTATGGACGCGTGACAGTTAGTTGTTAGCTGTCAGTCTCCAGATGTTTAGTTCTGCTTTTTGTCAAGCACTTCCTGATCACATGATGGGCGACATCAGCACAAAACACTGAGTCACGTACACACACACACACACACACACAGGACATGACAGACAAGTCCTTACCAGTAATAAACAGGCTTACACATGTGGCTGGAGAATGTGGGCTGATGGGAATGTTCATGATGCAGTAGATTTCATGAGGGTGTGTTTGTGCTTCTAACACAATATGGGCTGCGTTAACAACACACACACACTCACTCACTCACACACACACACACACACACACACACACACACACACACACACTCATCAGCCTCTCTGTGTGAAGATCTGTGCTCTGAATGAAAGCAGCTTCTTCAGGTCAGAGATCAACCATTGTTTCTCAAACATGAAGACGGAAGCAGGAAGCACTGAGTCGTTTGGAGACCTCAGCAGCACTTCCTCTTCAGTTCAATTACAAACAATGACTCGGTGAACTGTCAGCAGACTTGATTTATTCTCTTGTTGTTCTGTCTGAAGGAAATGAGAAGAGCGTCACTGTTCAGATTAATGGCTAATCTGAAACCACTTTAGATGAACGTATCCAACAAGACTTCATAAAGGAAAGACGGATTCATTTTTAATCCATAGCATACATTTATTTAAGTTCACAGGTGATTTTCACTCTTAAAGGCACAGTGCATGTTTAAAGTACAATCCAGTGCATGCAAACACAGAGTTCAGATCCCGATTAATTAACACGGAAATTCAGAAGAGAGAGCCAGAGGAGATCATTTGGTCAGTTTCTTCACCAGCTCCAGCTCCTCCACTGGTTTCCACTGCTGGTTAATAGTTATGAGCTGAACGGAGACACAAACCACCTGTTAATGCTCCTCTGGGCTTTATCTGAGCTTTAGTCAACATCAAATCCACTGAGCATCTCCACATGTCTCAAAGGTCATGCATTTGAACTCTATCCTTATCTTATATGTTATTGCTGTTTACAATCTACATGTATGCAGCCTAAAATAATGATTAAATAGATATTTGACAGCTGGTTACATTATCATAACCCATCAGTCTATGAAAGAAGAGCGTTTCTTACCTTCTGTGGTGTTGACGGATCTAATGTCTCCCATGGCTCTGGGTTTCTGGTCTTGTTTAAACTATAAAAGTCCAGAGATTTTATCAGTGCACAGCTTTTATAATATTATATGTTGAATATTAACTTATCAGACTTGCTCAGGCACTTTCATTATGTGTGTTACATTTAATACAGGAAAGAGATTGCTTATTATTAACCCCATAAATAACTTCAATCTCATCATTAAACCCCTAGTAAAGCTAAGTTTCTCACATGACATCTGGTTTGGTCAGTAAGAAGTAAATCGAGGCTGCTGCTGCTCCAAGTGCAGCACATCCGACAAACCCAATCAGAGGAATCAACTAGAAACATGAAAAGTACAAACTACATGAAACAGTGTTATCCACAGCAGGCTGATGCTGATGCTGATGAGAAGTCTTCCTCACCTCCTTCCTCTTCTTGAGCATTTGTAGAAATCCTCCATGCATCTTTCAGCTGCTACAATGTTTCCTAAAAAACTACATTCAAAACGATTCCATTTAGAATGTTCCAGTGAGACACAGTTTGAGAGTCAAATAAACATCAAACATGAGTAAAAGAGTCGTGATGAGGAAGATGATGAAGATGAGAGAGAACAGACCTGCTGAAGTTGCGCTGTAGATGCAGCATCATTCTGACTGTGTCGCTCTTATAACGCAAAGGAGACGCGTTTAATGGCACGTACACACACACACACACACACACACTCTCTCTCTCACACACACACACACACACACACACACACACACACACACACACACAAACACACACACACACACACACTCACACCCATCACCATCACGCGCTGCACCTTCAAACTGAAACTATGAGCGCATCTGTGCTTTTAGCGCCTTCTGCTGGACTCAATCACAATCTGACACCAATTAAAACTCGATACATTCTTATAGTGACTAGGTCTGTGCACAACACATACACACTATAACAAGTGCATGATCTATATTATATATGCATATCCATGCAAACGCGACGTTTCAGCGTAGAAGCGCGTCTAACAATGACTTTCACTGATGCTCATAACAATGTTTCTGTTTAGGGGCCTCAGGCCAAAATAAAGTGACAGCTGACGTGATGACGTGATGACGTAAAGCCAGAAGTGTGTTTGTCCTTCGAAAGACTTTAGCTTATAGTGGGACTGTGTGTGAATCACGATGCTGTATATGCAGTAGAATTTAACCCATTTAATGCCACCGGTTGATAAAGCTCTAAAAACCTTACTGACTGATGTTTTAGTGCACTTCCTGCAAATATGGGAAAAACTAAAGGGTCTCAATTAAATAAGTGCAGTGTTACATATTTATATGAGTGTTGTATAAGAGTTTGTATGCATAGAAAAACCTTAGAATGTGACCAATCTAATAACTGGGCTAAGATATATAACAATTTTGATGACTGCAGAAATAATGTTAATTCAATTTACAAACACCTGACCGACCATAAAACACAATTTTTTTAAATGTTTCAATTTTTTTTAAGCATATACAGTATCTCACAGAAGTGAGAACACCCCTCACATTTTTGTAAATATTTTATTATATCTTTTCATGTGACAACACTGAAGAGATGACACTCTGCTACAATGTAAAGTAGTGAGTGTACAGCTTGTATAACAGTGTACATTTGCTGTCCCCTCAAAATAACTCAACACACAGCCATTAATGTCTAAACCGCTGGCCACAAAAGTGAGTACACCCCTAAGTGAAAATGTCCAAATTGGGCCCAAAGTGTAAATATTTTGTGTGGCCACCATTATTTTCCAGCACTGCCTTAACCCTCTTGGGCATGAAGTTCACCAGAGCTTCACAGGTTGCCACTGAAGTCCTCCTCCAGATGTTAGAGACCTTGCGCTCCTCCACCTTCTGTTTGAGGATGCCCCACAGATGTTCAATAGGGTTTAGGTCTGGAGACATGCTTGGCCAATCCATCACCTTCACCCTCAGCTTCTTTAGCAAGGCAGAGGTCATCTTGGAGGTGTGTTTGGGGTCATTATCA